AGCCAAGGTCCAGAAACAACTTCTGTCCCAGATCACCCCTCAATACAAGAAAGAAAGTCAGGCACAGCGTCCAAAGGAGAGTCAGAAGCCCCTACTGTGGGGAGAGAAGCCAGAGGGGAGAGTGAGTTACATACCTGGTGGCCTGCAAAGAGACTGTCAGGGCTGGGCCTCCCAGAGGGTAGCAGCACCTTCCACAAATAACTGCTGACCAAGTCAGGGGTCACTAAGGGTCAAAGCAGCCCTTTCACTAGGCTGGAACCAGAGGAAGTCGGGCTGTTCCCCTCTCAGGAGGGGAAAGGCCAGGCCTCACAACGGAAGCTGAAGCCCTACCCCAAGCAGTCCCAGACCAGCCAAACCATGCTCGCCTCCCTGGACCCAGGTTCCAGGAGCAGGATGGGCAGACTTGAAGGACAAGGCACAGGCATCCAGATCCTGCTTCCCAGCTCCACTTTTGCCAAGGAGTCACCAAGGATCTGGCACCGAGCTGGGTCCTGCTGGGCCACCCCGAGGAGAATCACTTACTTATTCATTCAACCATCATTTCCTGAGGAGCCCGCTGTGTGCCAGGCCTTGTGCCAGGAGTCAAGGAAACAAGGATGGACAAGGCAGTCCCTGCCTGGGAGGGTTCACGGAGACACTCCATATGCCACAAAACAGCAACGGAAGAAGAGGAAAGGACTCAGTGTAGACAAGCCCAGAGGAGGGAGGAGGGAAAGGAAGGGTTCAGAGAAATCTGCCATCCACATTCAGACCTACTCACCCTCAGAAAGCCTGGGGTCACACGGAGGAGGCACCTGCTCTGTGTCATTTTACTCTCCCACCACCCTATGAGGTTGTTCCCATCTTCCAATTTACAAATTCAGAAACTGAGGCTCAGAAAGGGTCACAGTCACAAAGCTCGGAAGGGGCAGCGTCCAGATGCTAGCTCGAGTCCACAGCTTTTTGCCATCAGGCCCTGACACCTCCCTAATTTACAGACAGGCGGAGGTAGGTGACATTGCTCCAGGTAGGGTAAGTGAAGGTAAGAGGGTGGGCGCGATTATTGCACGTGTGAGCCGAGTCGCCCAGTTCACCCTGGGTGCGTGCGTGCATATGTGTGTGCATGTGCTCACACGTGCCCTACTTTGCCAACAACAGATCCCAGGCCACATAACTTCCTAAAAGCCAAGTAACTTACAGGCGTGTGCACAACAGAGAAGGGAAGCCCAGAGAGAAGGAACATATCAGGGGTCACATAGCCTGGAAACAGCAGAGTTGGAACTAACCCCAAGAACCAGAATACAGGCCTCTTCTCTTTCAGCTGCTTCTCCATGTCAGCACACAGTGAATCAGCTGCTGACAGGAAAACCAAAGTGTAGGGGGATCCCCAGGGTGAGTCAGGAACCAGCCAGCCCCCAGACACCAACTGGGCCTGCTACAGAGGTCTTGAGCCTGTGGCTGGCTCCTAACAGGCAGCTTCAGGAGGAGACAAGGGGAGGAGGGAAGCGACACATACCACACTGCTCCTTGTGTTTACCTCTGGGCTTCCCTCCTGGCTCCTCAGATCCAGGCTTAGAGGAGGGGAAGCCGGTGGGCAGGGCAGTTCCTGCTGAGATTAAACAGACCCCCCAAGCCCTGGCCCCATCCTGTCCCACAGAGGGGAGAAGGCTCTTCCCTCCCCCACCCCCACCTCTCACTGAGCCAACTTCTGACTGTTTGATGCTCTTGATTAAATCATAACCGCCCCCTTGGAGCTTCCCATGGGGTGGAAGAAGTGACTATAATGGTTTGGATCAAGGGGTCAAGGCCAAGCCAAAACCAGGGGGTGCCAGCTGGACCCAGATGCTCCAAACCCAGAAGAATGCATAGGGCTTGGATCTGCTCAGCCTTGGGCCCGGAGGGGTAAGCGAAGGTAAGGGGGTGGGCGCAATTATTACACGTGTGAGAGTTCACCCTGGGTGTGTGTGTGCATCTTCAGGTGGCACAGGACTGGGTCCCCAGGGTGGGGAGGAATGAGAAGGAGGAGGAGCTTCCAGGCAGTGGCCCAAAGTCTGAAGATTCAAGAGAAGGGGCTGCCCCACATTGCTGAAATTTCAGAAGAGCCAACCAAAATTCACTCCCCACATATGGGAAATTTCCGTCCCCACCAGCTAGCTTTCACCCCAGCTCTCCCTGGGCTATAGCCAGGAGGCGGAGAGGCACAGGCACTGCTCCCCGTCCACCCTGCTCTCAAACCCACCAACTAACTGGTGCAAGCTCCCACCACTTGGCCTGGATGCTCCCCCCCTTCATCGGTAAGCACAGGGCCTCCTTGGGCGGCTCCTTCCCTATCACTCCATAGCATGCATCACCCTCCCCAGCACCTCTGAGCCCCTGCTATGCACCAGGGTTGAGGCTGGATGGGGGAATAGGAAGAAAAACAGGTCATACGTGGGGATCCTCTCTCTGCTCTCTACATTGCCCTGGCTCTCGTCCCACCCCTCTGATGCTGCCTCTTCCTTCACTCCCAGCAGCAGACATTCCCACAGACCTGCAGGCCCACTCCTTCCCCATCACCATAGCTGCGGGATCATTCTCCCTTGACCTCTGGGCCCCTCACCCCAGCACATCTAGCAGGCTGCTTTCCTAAAGTGCCCCTCTGATTATGTCACTCCCTAGCTCAAAAACCTTCAGTGGCTCTCACTGTCTACACATCAGATCCAAACATCTCCCCTTGGCATTGAAGGCCTTCCATGAGTTGATCCAACCTACCATCCCCCCTTCACATCCCTGCGCCATCCCAGTCCTTTGGGTGGACGGGATCAGCCTAGCAGTTGCTTAAAAATTCCCTGAACGCCTTGACCCTGTGCTTTTGCCTAGGTATTTTCCTCTGCCCAAAGCTTTCACTGGAGCTGAGGAAACCTTCCCAATTCTTAAGACACTTCTCCCCCGCCCTCCCAGATTTTACCTCATCCATGAAAGTTCCTTGTAATCCTTTTTTCCCTTTGTCTCCTATCAGAGTCCCTGGTATCCCTTCCCAGAAGGTCAGCAACTGAAGATGGGGGCAGTGTGTCATCCTTCGTCATTCATCATGTGGGCTGGAGGGGTGTGGGGAAGACTTCCCAGTATTGGCTTAGTAAGTACTGTCTGAAATTCACATCTTCTCCTCCCCCCACGGGCCTCACACCTACTGACCCTCTTCCTCCCCACAACACCACACTCTAATCTTACACTGTTTACATGCTTAGACAGGGGAGTCTGTGGCCCCAAGCTGATTCAAGCCCAACCAGGACTTGGGAGCCCAGGCAGAAACTCTTGCTCGAGTCACCAGGACTAGGAAGCCCCTCCCCCCTCTCCCTACCCTGGTTTCTCTAGGGTCTCACTGCTTTTAAGCACCCTCCCCTCCCAGAGGCACACACACTATCTCCTCCATATAGTGCAGCTTGCAGTCCCATACTACTTTCTAGCTGGTTCCATCTCCCCAGGGCATTCAGGGAGCTGACATGCAGCACCCCCAGTCTTTCTTCTTCAGTGCCCCGCCTTGATTGAACAGGTAACAGGCGCCCACACTGACCCTCACCTTCACCTCAAGCCAAGTGTTCAGTGGAATAGCTGGGTCCCAGACACCAGAGCAGTACAGACTCATGAAATCTCATCTGGCCCCAAGCCCTGGGTGTGTGTTATCTTCCCCAGCAGGAGCCTGGTGGGGGTGGGGGAACCCTCTCACTGTCAGCAACTCAAAATGAGGGCAGAGCCCAGATCTGGCTAGATCACCTCTGTATCTCCTTGCACTATCTAATATAGTAGGTGCTCAGTAAACATTTTTGGGTTTACTTCACTGGATGACCGCCAGCCTCAAGCACTATTACAGAAAACTCAACCACTCTTTGGTCTAGATGACACACTCCCCAAACCCGAAATGGACAAAGTGATGCAGGTGGCAGGTGGGAATTTCTGGTCAGGAGGGGCTGCAGCCAGCCTCTGGCCCTCCAAAAACAGGCTCATTCCCAGGCAGGAAGCCAGCCCATCACCTGCCCATCTGCATCAGAGCAGCTGTCATATAGTGCAGGCTCACTGGGTGTCTGGGACCTTGCTAAACACCGTATATGAATTATTCTGTTTAATCTTCGCTACTGCCCTTGGGTACTATCAGGACTCCCATTTTACAGATGAGGAAACTGAAGCTTGGAGGGAGTGGAATCCTACTCGGTCTGGTACCAAAGCCTAAGATCTTGCCTGCGGAACTAGGCTGCCCAGCTTACTATGGCCCTGGCACAGGGCACCCATTACCACCAGGAACAGAAACCTCCAGCCCAATGAACTAACCCCGAGCATGCAGCAAGAGCCCTGGGCCCTGGGCTTGACTCTGGGCCCAGAGTTTGGTGGGGTTTTCCCTGCTTTACCCAAAACCCAACCCACCTCCCATAAGCACTTGTCCCCTGGTTTCCAACCAGGGCCTCCCAGGCCAGCTCACCTGGAAATGCCCCAGGAAGGGGACAAAAGCCCCGCTGAGGCTGGGAGTCTTTAGTCTTAGGGGGATCTCAGTATTGGGAGGAAGGGGAGACTGACATTTCCCTGCTTTGGGCCTCTTCCCCAGGGCTTGTGGGTTCAAGCCCCAACCGAGGAACTGGTGTGAGCTTTCAAGTACTCCGCTTAACGATCCAGGAGAGTTCCCTTGGCTCAGTGCCACTCGGCGGGGAGAGCTAGGCAGCGCGCGTGCATACCTGTGGCTCTCACCTGCCAGCCCTCGCCTTCCGGGGTTTTTGTGGGAAAGGGCAACCAGAGCACGTAGTTCACCAGGCTCAGCCTCCCCGGTGTATGGAACCCGAGAAGTCCAGAGCAGGGCGGGGAGGGCCGGGCCCGGGGCCGCCCAGCTGGTAGACGACGGAGCCGGACTGGGGGATCAAAACTCGGGGACTCAGGCTCCTGTTCACCCCCCCGCTGCTCCGTGGCCCTGTCACTTGCTCCGAGAAAGCCCGGCAGGGGTGACGAAGACTGGCTTCGCTGCAGTCCGGCCGGCCGGCCTCCCCCCTGCCGCTCACCTGCTGGCTGCGCTGTGTGCTCGGCGCCGCAGGCCCGCGTCGCCCGCTCGCCCCGTCCGCGTCGGACTGCGCGGCCCCGGGCTCAGTGCTCGCCGGTCCCACTGGCGACCGTCGGGGATCGCAGCGGCCGGGCCAGGCCCCGCCCCTCCGGAGGACACGCCCCGGCCCGCTCTGGCCCCGCCCCCGGCCCCGCCCCCGCCCGCGGGAGAGCCTGGCCGGGGGCCCGACCTGGCTCCGCCCACCAGGCCTCCCTCGGAGAGGCTCGCCAGCCCCGCCCCCGGCCCGCCCTGGCCCCGCCCCCTCCCCGCCCCCGGCCCCGCCCCGCGGCGGCCTCCCTACCCCCCCCCCCGCCGGCCCCGCCCCCGCCCGCCTCCTGGGCTCGGTCCTCCGCGCCCCTCCGGCCCCCGGCCCTGCGGGGCTGCAGCCTGGCTCCCCGCCCGCCCGGGCCGCGCTCCAGCCCCGGCTGCGAGGGGAGCCCCACTCACTGCTCGGCCTAACAGTCCCGCCCCTTCTGGGCCCTCCTCGTCCGCCCCAGCGCCCCCCCCGCCCCCGCCCCTCCCGCCGCCCCGCCGGGGTCGCGTTCTCCCCCGGCCTACCCCGCCCGCCCCAGGCGCGCCCTTCTCCGCCCAGCGCCTCCCTAATCCTGCTCTGCCCTGCCAACCCCACCCGGGGCGGGCGGCCTCCGGCCCCAAGCTGGCATTCCTGGGCGGGTGTATCCGGGCGCGACCCGGGCGGCGTGGGAGCGGTTTGCGTTCCAACTCCCGGCCTTTATCAGCAGGCGGCCTGCGCCCAGGCAGTTTTTGAAAATACCAACAACTACCACTGACTGGGCCCTCGCCAGCGGCCGGGCTCTATGCCAAGCCATGTTAAAAGGACTGGCCCTTAAATTCGCACGACTCTACGCCATGGGACTCCTGTTGCGCCCATTTTTTGGATGAACTACCTGAGACTCAGAGAAGGGGAGTCATGGCCTCTTGAGTCCCAGGCTAGCGGGGAGCAGGATCCGGCCCCAAGCCCAGGATCACAAGCTCCTCGCTGCCCCCGCCTGCCTGGACTGGCCCCTGGAGAAGTGGCCCTGGCCAGCCAGCTGTTGGGGTGTACTCAGCAGGCTGCCCGAGGTGGGAAAGGACGCGTGGGTTGATGAGGCAGGTAGCAGGAGGAGCTGCTGGCCTGAGCCCCAGAAGCTGGTTTTCTCTCTTAAGAAGTGAGTCAGAATTAAGATGGGCTGCAAAGATCTCCAGAGGGCTGGGCTGTGGTGCCAGGACCTGCATCCCAGCCCTCCGCACTCCCAGACCCCAGGCAGGACCCAGCCTCAGGCAGCTTTCCTCCTTAAGACAAGGACCATTCACCTTGCAGCTGACAAAGCTCTTTAACTCCCATTATCTCATTGGCATCTCACAAAGGACGCCATTGTGGGGAGGGTATGATTATGCCCATTTTGCCTGGGTGGAGTAGGGTGGGGAGCTGGATCCCAGCCCAGCATGGTGCTTCCCAAAGCATGGTCCTTGGATCTACAACAGCAGCAGCAGCATCTGGGAACTTGTTAGGACTATGTGTTTTGGAACCCCATTCTAGACGGACTGAGTGGGATACCCTGGGGTAAGAGCCTAGCAATTTGTTTTTAACAAGGCCTCTAGGTGATTCCAAATCACAAGCAAGTTTGAGAACCACTGTTGGGCATAATGGTGAAGAAGTTAGAGTGGTCTGAGAATCACGAAAACTGGGTAGCATCCTGGGAGCCTGGTGACCCAAGGCAAGGTACTGAACTTCTCTGGGAGAAGCCTGTACTTGGGGAATAAGAATATCCGTCATGACAGTGGCTGTTGAGGATTAAACATGGTAGCGTTCATGAAATGTTTGCCCACTCTTGCACACTGTGCATGCTCAATACACATTCTCTTTCCAGTAAAAAGTCTTCCTTATAGAATCTTCACACCAAGTTAGGGGAGTGAGTCTGGGGGATCTTTAAGCCTGGCAGTGTCCACACTGTTGTCCTTCCCATAGAGGGACACCATCTTTCCGGCAAGGGGCCAGAGCTTAACAAGCTCCTGAATGATGCTGGTCCAGGGACCACTTTCAGGACCAGTGTGCTACTCTTGGACTGGGTTCCTAGCCAACCCATGCAAAATGGGCATAGAATACCCTCCTCTTCTACCCTATCCCATGTCCCTCCCCTCAAGCTGAGGGTATATGATGGTGATTGGCACTTGGCAAAACAGCTGGATCACATCAGTCCCTCCCTTCCCCTCCAGGCAGACTTTCACTCACAAGAGTCCCATCTGCTACCCCTTCTGGTCTGTCACTCCACGTCAGAGATAGTGGCAGCTGTGGCAACATGGAGGGGCCATCCGCAGGCAGATTTTAGAATCTCTGCCATACTCTCCTACCACCCTCTGCAGTTCCTCCATGGTGCCAGAGCTGCCACTATCTCTAGAGGAGCTCAGGGTCTAATGGTCCTGTTCCACAGAACTCCCCTAACATGTTAATATAAGATTGGGCCCCACATACCTTACATTTCAACATTTACTAGACTATAAAATAAAATGCTTATCCTCCTACCTTGAGAAATATTCTTTAAAATGACCAAAAGGGCCATGCTCAAATTTAGAATTCTCGGACTCCTTAGAATTCTGTGCAGGAATGAGGCAGTGTGGGGTGAGTTAGCCCTGACCCCTCCACTCTCAGCCCATCCACTCAGATTCTTTTCCCATCCCCATGTCTGTCCTGTCCATACGAGTGGCCTAGGACTTAGAACCTCAGCCCACGTGCCCAAGCTCTGTCTACACTTCTTACCCACAGCTACCACCCAGTCACCCCTCTACGGGTGCTTCTGTCCTCTCAGAAGGACGGATCTGAAGGAGTCGCATATTGGAACCACTTAGGCAGACATGTGTAGGGTTTTGGATATCTGAAGCACAACTGTGGAAGGCAGTGGGGTGTAAGCTCTGAGTGGACACAGGTGGCCCTCTTGCCTGGGCCTATGAATGGCCCTGCTGCTTGTCCCTGTCTCCCCAGCACCTAGCACACTGCCTGGTACATACTGGAAGTTTAAGTCATTGAGGAGAGGGGTGTCTGAATTATTTACTAAGATATCAAATTAGCTTGGTATCCCAGCAGCGGACAGGCTTTGTCATGATTTGCCTTGGCCATTTGCTTCTAGCGAGAGACAACTTCCTCCTTTTGGGGAATTCCTCGGTCCATTCCAGAAGTGAAGCCAAGAGTTTGGGAGGTGGGAAAAGGAGCAAGAAGAACTACCCTAGAAAGACTTGAGAGAAGTTATCAAATGGCCAACTTGGAGGTAGGGGAGATGGTGATATGGCAAGACCTTAAAAGGCTTGGGGCACCTGGGTGGCTCAGTCAGTTAGGTGTCCAACTCTTAATTTTGGCTCAGATCATGATCTTGTGGTCATGAGATCAAGCCCCGCAATGGGCTCCATGCTGAGCATGGAGTCTGTTTGATATTCTTTCTCTCCCTCTGCCCTCCCTTCCTCCCCTGCTTGTGCTCGGTCTCTAAAAAAAAAAAAAAAAAAAAAAAAAAAAAAGAGTATGGCTTTGCAGGTCCCAGCCTCTGAGATGATTCCCCCATCCCAAAGGTGGCACAGGAGCTACAAAGCAGGAGACCTGAAGGTCCTTGTGGTCAAGAAAGTTGGTATCAGAGTCTTGTTGGTACCCAGGTACCCAGGCCTAGGTAAGGCTCTAAGACTTTTACACAACTCTGGGAGGAGGGAAGGAGGGAAGAGTGGTGTGTCTGTTTCCTATTGCTCTGTAACAAACCACCCAATCATTTATATGGCTCATAGATCTGCAATTTGGGGCAGGTTCACTGGGGAAGGCTTATCTCTGTTCTATGCAATGTCAGCTGGTTCATTTGGAGGTGGAGGATCCTTTACAGATTGGGGCTCTCACATGGCTAGCAAGTTGGTGCTAGATGCTAGCTGGGAACTCAGCTAGAACTGTGGACCAAAACCTGAGTTCCTCTCCATGAGGCCTCTCTGCAGGCTGCTGTGGCTTCCTCACTGCAAGATAGCTAGGTTTCTTTCTTCTTCTTTTTATTTTTTTTTTACATTTTATTTATTTATTCATGAGGGACACACAGAGAGAGGCACAGACATGGGCAGAGGGAGAAACAGGCTCCCTGCAGGGAGCCCGATGTGGGCCTCCATCCCAGGACCCTGGGGTCATGACCTGAGCCAAAGGCAGATGCTCAACCACTGAGCCACCCAGGTGTCCCGAGGCAGCTGGGTTTCAAGAGCAAACAGAGAACAAGGTAGGAGCACATGGGATTTTCTGACCTAGCATCCGAAGCCATGTAGCCTCACTTCCTCTATATTTTATTAGTGGGGGCATTCACAAAGGCCCAGCCTCTTCAAGGAGAGGAGACATAATCTCCTTCTCTTGATGAGGGGGTGGCAAAGTTCTAGAAGAGACTGCAGAAGAGAAAATACTGTCACAACCATCTTTGGAAAATACAATCTGCACCAAGTGGGTCCTCAGAATAAGGGGAGAGTTTCCTCTGGTGGGAACTGAATGTCTGAATGAAGCCGATTTAAAGAGAAAGGTGTATAATGTCTCTTGCATAACTCCTTGCACACAGATGACTCAGAAGTCCGAGGGACAATGAGTCTTGTGTGCTTGGGTTATGTAGGATCTTCCTTCCTCGGAGAGTCCTCAGAATAGAGGTTAGAGGTAAGACCCCTTTCCTCTTCAGCTAGACTGTCTCTTTAAAATGGTACATTTAAATCCCATTCATTTGATCCTCTTAACAATGACTTCTGTGAGGCTATCTCTTATGATGCCCATTTCTAAGATGTGGAAATAGAGACCCTGAGAAGGCAAGTAACTTGCCCAAGGACATACAACTAGTCAGCGATGGAGGAAAGAGAAGTGACAGTTTGTCACCAACCCAGTTTGCTGTTGCAGAAACTTAGCCCCAGGGGAGAAGCTCAGATTGGGCAGGACCCAGGTACCCAGATTCGGAGCACCCAACCCTGAGCCTGTGTGCAGTCTATCCCTGAAGACTCACAATGAGCTGAAGGGACCCAGCTTCCAGCCTAAGAAGCAGAAAGGATGCTGGTCCCCGGACTGCTGGTGTATAGTCCTTTCCTGGCACAAGTCTTGCCCCAAACTCTGTCCTCACTCAGAGAGTA